GAGCGCAGAAGAAGTTGAAGCCTGAATGGAACAAATGTGGCATAGACTTTGTGCTAACAACTTGGGGCTATCGCATTTTATGATTGTTCTATGATGTTTTCTGATATGACGGACTACTTGCTACGACGTGACGACCGTATGAAAATACCGAGTTTGCCGTACTGTCGAGCAGACAGCTTCTTGGCACTGTGATCACAGACGCCCAGGACGGCGGACTTGATCGTTTTGAAGTCTTCATGATGAAGTAATGAATGGGTTTCATTACCAGGGCAGGCGTTTTGATATGACATTTGACTTCTGCGATGATTATACAATGACTGTGATGACCCTGAATATAAGGTATGGATATGAAAATGAATGCAATGATGGATTCCGTTTCTTCTCTTTCGAGATTTTCTGCCGTTGCCCGTTATTGAAATCGATCAAGATTCGAAGCCCCATGACACTGACAGAAACTGAGACAAGCAATGATCACATGCGGTATTTGAGCCAATCAGTATACTTTTCTCTGAACAATAAGTAGAGGGCCTAAGCCAAAAGTGGAAAGATGCATGGTCTCGCATGGAGGGTACCTTGCCTGATTGAGTTAGATAGGGTTACCTCGGTTCCGGAAACGCCAGTTGGTAAAAATAAACCAGCCGCAGGAGGAAGGTACGACTTGTCTGTCTCGCATCGGACTGCATCCGCCATGCGGTTCATTGCATTTGTATCATTGTCAGTGAATTAAGAACGGATTGTTCTCGGTCGGCAGTTGGAGGTTTCAGATCCTCCAAGTGACAGGAATATTGACCTCTGTTGATGGCATCAGAATCAATTGACTCGACCTATACTAAATCTCAGTATGGTAGACCATGTCATGAAGTTCACCTGTCAGACATATGTATTTATTTGCCTATTTGATTTCTATCATTGCATTAGGTTGTGCTCATTGTGTTTCTCGCGTGGCGTCAAATAGTATGGATTAAAAAATTAATCTATTGAAATTGCCGGCTGCAGTAAATGAAGTCGAGTCTGACTCCGTAATTTCGCTTCTCCAGTTCTCCATGCTGGGGTTTACCGCAACCAGGGTCTTTTGAGTCTGAAAAGGGAAAAAAGAGTCCCTGACAACGTGGATCCCAGACCCTGAGCGGCGGATCAGCAACACATTGATGGGCTTGAGATCACGATGATTACTGGGTTATGTGAATTAAAATAGATGAGATACAGTAAACCAGTAACCCAGTAAGCATTAAGAGAGTGAGTGCATGTTAAATAGAGGAAGAGGAATATTTGGAGTGAACTATTATTGACAGGCAGGTTGACAGACAGCACTAAATCAGGTTGTCGGGGCCACCGGCCGACCGTCATCTGCATCAAGACCGTCGTCTGTGCTTGATTCAGCGGTTGGAAAGTAAGATCATAATATACAGTATTCCGCATGCAGTTACTGGTTTTCCTTCCCCTCACATTGCTTCTTTCATATTCGTGAATAGGTCATTCGAAGCGATCTTGTCTTCTTTGTCTCTTTCGATTCCGTGTCGCTCCTACACACGGTCAACTCTTAGTCTTGGGGAATTATTCTACTTGCTGTACTCCGTATCGACATCGACATCAACATCAACAGCGACGAATCTTGCGATGCTAGCTTAGGCTTCCGCCTTCTGGCGTTTTTTTCCTCGCATGATCAGACACTATCATCTTCTAGGTGAGTGTTTCTCTGGTACAGATCTTATTGGTTTCTCCCGATTCCCAAAAATATCCTGTCAACGTCGCATTCTTCTGCCATGCTTATTGCGGAATGTTCTGCGACCCGGATCTGTCTAACTAAAGGAATACCTCGACTAATCGAAGTTCATGAACCTGCAGTCAATATTCTGCGCTCCCAAGTTCCAACCGCTTCATATTTCGCACCTTCTTTGTTCTTCCTGCCTGTTCCTGAAATTCACAAGTTCTCCGCTGTCATCGCTTTGAACCGTGGTTCGACTCGGTGGCCTGTCCCGCTGATTACTATACCTAGGTATAATTAATAGGTGTCGGTTTCGAAAAAAAAGGTCGACTGCCTGGACCGGATTAATTAAACGTGATCGGCCACTCTGACTAACTTCTGGCACAGCCCGGTTATTCCATCAATCTGCCTACTTTGCTAATTCCAGAACCATCTTTCCTTTCCATCATTGGAAGTCGAAGCGGACATCGGTCGTTTGTCTTGACCTACAATAACTACCATTTTGTGTATCGGAAAGTACAGAAGAATCCATACAGAGGGATACGGGTGCGCTGGTTGTGCTTTGAGCCATGTCCGGTCCCAACCGGACTTACAGTTTTGGCGAGGGCGACGACGGTTTAGCACATCCCTCTTCCAGAACTCATGCCATGCACTCGCAGTACGACGATGTTTCCCCGATCTCCGACGGAGCCCGTATGAATCCGATGAATGGTCAGGAAATGGACCACGGACTTGCCTCGGTGCCGGAGGACGGCCATCAGGGATGGGGTCGGGGTCCAGAACCGTCACCCTCGCTACTTACGGGTTCTTCAGCGACCCCAGGGATGGATAATCTGGGGCCAGGCGCCGTGGGAGGCGGCATTAGCGGTATTGCTCTCAGTGTTGCCAATAGCCATGATCGTTTGAGTGGAGTGGAGGCACTCATGGGCACAGACGGCCAGGAGGCTAATATTCCTGCAGAGCGAGGGTTCAGCACCACGGGCTCCGATAACCCATACGTCCCTGCGCCGCCGGAACATCGATATTCGTACGGTTCCAATGTCGCTTTGGGGGCAGCCGCTGCCCCGGCTGGACAGTTGACCCCGGGTCAATCCGTTTCGCATCTTAGCTCGTCGAATCAATCGCAACGCAACCTCTATGATATCCCATATCAGGGTGTAGGGGGTCTGAACGCCGGTCCCTACCAACGGCACTCGGCTTATAGCTCGAATGATCTGCCTGTTGATATTAATCCAGATGAGATCGTCGATGATGGTGATGACGGTTTTGTGCCGGCGCCCAACTCAAGATCTAGTGCTCGCAAGTCTCAGGCCATTCCTGCGGCGGCTGGAGGTGCTGCAGCAGGCGGGGTTTTGGGAAATCTGGGAGGGCTTTTCGGGGGCAAGAGTGCTGCCGATACATCGTACGGACCGGTTCCAGGAGCTGGTCTCGAGGCTGGAGAGAAGGGTCGCTGGGTCAAGCCGAAGCCAGGAGGGGGCAGCAAGAAGCGCGGATGGATTGTGGGGGCGATCCTGGCTTTCATCATCATCGGGGCCATCGTAGGAGGTGCGGTCGGTGGTACAATAGGCCACAGAGGCAACGAGGAGCCATCATCGGCTTCCTCCTCTTCCACAGAAACGGCCACCGGCGACACAAGCGCCAACGGGGATCTGGATAAGAACTCTGCCGAGATCAAGGCCCTGATGAACAACAAGAACTTGCACAAAGTCTTCCCCGGTATTGATTACACCCCGTGGGGTGTCCAATACCCTCTGTGTCTTAAGTATCCTCCATCTCAGAACAATGTGACCCGGGATATGGCCGTGCTCACGCAACTAACAAACAACGTGCGACTCTACGGTACGGACTGCAACCAGACGGAAATGGTCCTTCACGCGATCGACAAGCTCGAGATAAAGGATATGAAAATCTGGCTAGGTGTGTGGATCGACAGTAACGAAACGACGTCAAGACGGCAGGTAGACCAATTGTACAAGATTATCGACGACGCCAAGGATACTTCCATCTTTAACGGGGCCATTGTTGGTAATGAAGCCCTCTATCGAGCAGGCAGTGACAAGACGTCCGCGCAAACCACCCTCATCAATTACATGCAGGAAGTGAAGGACCACTTCAAAAAGAAGAACATTGATTTACCAGTGGCAACATCAGATTTAGGTGACAACTGGGACGCAACCTTGGTTCAAGCGGCAGACGTTGTCATGGCGAACGTGCACCCGTTCTTCGGAGGCATTCCGGTCGATCAAGCTGCGGCTTGGACGTGGCAATTCTGGCAGAATCACAATGTCGCCTTGACCAAGGGCACCAATAAGAAGCAGGTCATCTCTGAAGTCGGCTGGCCCAGCGGCGGAGGAAACGATTGCGGGCTTGGTGCTAACTGCCCGAACGATACAGAGGGTGCAGTGGCTGGAGTCGACGAGATGAACAAATTCATGGAGGACTGGGTCTGTCAAGCCCTAGAAAATGGCACGGATTACTTCTGGTAAAGACCCCACAACCACCCTAAGCAGTCAACTGGTTTCGGGCACAGCGGCTAAAAAGTTCAATAGGTTCGAGGCATTCGACGAGCCATGGAAGATCGTGTACAATACTGCGAACGAGAATTGGGAAGACAAATGGGGTCTCATGGACGCGGCTCGTAACCTCAAGCCTGGCCTCAAGATTCCCGACTGTGGCGGCAAAACGGCCACTCGATGACTGTGATGCTCCTTTTTTTTTTAATTTGACGCTCGATACAATAGCTTTTGGCACCCTTTTCCATCCATCTATCGTTGCATATGAACCGTCTCGCAACCCTTTTCCTTCTACTGCTATACATGCTTGACGACGCATATCCTGACGAACCCTTTACAAGTCTTTGGCTTTTGGCGTTGGTGCTGCTTTTTCTTCTCTCCTTGGTTGTGTATGTTACCACCTGTTGAATATTCTCTTTCTCGGACGGGCCCAGAGCTCCAATCTCTGGTTGCGGCTGATTTCGCACGGCTTTGTTGGAAATTTGTCTCATATTGCAGATGGACACTCCTTGCTAAGATACACTTGTTGATGATTGAACGCAAGTCTGTATATACCATAGCAGGCTCTCGCTGGGGTTGAATTGGACGACCATTGGACCTGTGGAATGTTGAGTGTTTCGGGATTGTAAGAAATATCAACCACCATTATGACAGGGATAGGAGTCTTCTACTTTGCGTACTTTTATATAATCATGAATCATCAGTGCTGTCTATGGATACAAAGGGGTATATACTAGCCTATCTGAGTACCGCACGCAGAATCCACCAAGCTCGTTCCAATCTCATTCCTTCTTCAAAAGGTACAAGCGCATATTCCAAAACGCATGCTCATTGCTTTCAAATGTAGGAACTCGCACTGACTCTCTAGCGCCGAGATACCGATTCACAACCTCGGACTCAATCCCCTCCAGGGGACCCCGAAGAGTAACGGCGGATCAGAAACAAGCAATTGCTCAAGATGCGTCCGCTCCGCACCGGGACAGTACAGGAATGACCGATCGGAGACCTTTGCAAACCCCTCGGGGTGATCGAGAACGGTGATCCCGAGAGTCTTGAGGAGCGACCGGTCGAGCTGGTTGAAGACGGGATCTTGGGCGTAGGCGGTGATCGAAGGGTGGTATTTTTCTAATCAACGGAGAAGAGCACTCGTCAGTCGAATCACCTTTCTATACGAGGCGCATGAATATATATACTGATCGCAGCAAATCGACTTACTCATCAATTCCGTGACGCCCACCAACGCAGCGAGCTGATACAGCGACACACTCCGGCGATCTACCCACCCCCCTCGCAGAAACCCGCTCGGGCTTCCAAGACCAATGCAGACGATGTTCTTCAGCGAAGTCGCGCGGGGATCTGAATCAGCGATCGAACTGCTCTCTTCGAACCTCGTCCGGAGTGTATCCGCCATCACGCGCCAAGTCTCCGACCCCTCCCATCTCTCGCGATACCCATTGAACTGGGTTTGAAGGTCGTCGAGGGTCAATTGCGAGGGAGCTTCGGCTGGGAGCAGCGCTGGAGTTGACGATTGGCCTCCGTCGGCGCTCTGGTTTGGGCGCAGTGCCCGTCGCACGTTTTGGTTGGTGGTAACGTGCGTCCAGCCGTCCGCGTCGGTGACTTGCAGGCGTTTCTGCTGCTGGAGTTTGGAATCGGGTTTTCTGGGACGTCGGGTGTGCGGCATGTCGGTATATATGTGGTGTTCGGGCTATCTTCGGGGGTATACACTGTGATGTGATGCTCATCCTGGGGTGGATTTTTGTTATCTTTATCGGGATGGTTATCGGTGGTGGGGTGGACCGTGGAGCTTATCGTTTATCTTATCAGTTTATCAGTTATCGGACCTTCGAGTCTCACTCTCAACTTCTTAAGTCTCATGAGCTACTTGGTACCTTACTCAAAGAGTAAGAGAATGTGCGCTAGTTTAGTGAAATTGTCACGTCAGCTTGGACTATGCACACAATTGGAAATTACACAGGATTTGATTGGTGTCCATGATCATCAAACTACGAGCTCCGGATGAGCTGCCGGAGCGTGCTACCCTCAAACCAGAACACTATAATCACTACGGAGTATTTCAAGTCCAGTCAAAAGAAGAGAAAATCGAGATGTCTCAGTCATACTAATCGCGGGTATTCTCGAGTCTTTCAAGCGACGTTACTCACTCGAATTGATGATGTGCATCCATCACAGTGATCGCCCCCTTCTGCTGCACTCACGAAGGATCTCTAAGCGCCCAGTCCCATGACAGCTCCCCTCTTCTAGCGTTAAGATAGGGGCGCTTCCACCTCCTTTGCTCCACGAATCATCGGCGCAGAATGGCTTCAATCATCCCTGCCAGGACGTGATGCCACTTGCAGCCCAGCGTCTTGGACGGTCCTTCGATCCAATCCGACGACGAGATTGGCTGTCCCCTCACGGGCGCAACACTGCCAATTCTCAACGGACTTCTCAAGCACAGAGGAACGAGGCAGACGCTACCGCCAATTTTCAATCTTTCAACCTGCGGGTGTGGTCACATCAAAGTCTCCTGCATTCTCACTCGTCCAATTTTTGTCACCTTCCTGCGGTACTCAAGTCAGGATGTGAAATGCTGCTGCAGGACCTGGCCTTCGGGCTTTATCCGCTCTCTTTCAAAAAGACTTGAACGCCCTCCCTATTTGGTTCCTCTGGCTGCTGCTCGCGAAGCTTATTTTCCTTTCCTCTTTGATGATGATCATTTTCTGCGGTTCGGACGGTTGAACTGTTCGCCAACTGCTTGACTTGACTCGCACACTCCCGTAGGAGTTTCACATCCGAAAAGAAGACGGTCGTTCTCTTTTGTTTGCAGGACTACTTCTGCTGTTGCAGTTGACTTCATTATCCCTTGCCTTCCGTGAAGGTCTCACATACATCATGGTGCTTCAATTTTCGATATCACAATGGGCAGCGCTCATCGCACTGCTGTGCGCTGGACTGGCCAATGCCCACACGGTCATCACATACCCAGGCTACAGAGGAAACAACCTCCACACCAACGGCACTGTCGAAGAGTCAAATGGTTTGGGGCAAGCTGAAGTTAATGGCTCGCTAATCTTCCCCTACGGCATGGAATGGATGTATCCTTGTATGAACAACCCGGCTAGCCTTCGAGTTTGTCCATGAACGTGTGCACAGCTAATGGGTAATCGTATCATTTTTGCAGGTGGAGGTATGCCGACAACCACTAACCGAACGAAATGGCCGGTCGGAGGCGGCGCCGTTGCCATCCAACCTGGCTGGTTCCAGGGTCATCAAACTGCCCTCATCTACATCAACCTGGGCCTGGGCACAATCCCTCCGAACATGAGCCATCCTATGGTCCCTCCCTTCCAGATCACAGGTCCCACCAATAACCCTTATCCTGGTACTATCTGTCTGCCACAAGTCCCTCTGCCGGCAAACATTAGTGTGAAGCCAGGGGACCACGCCACTATCCAAGTTATCGAGACTGCCAAGCACGGTGCAGCTTTGTACAATGTATGTCCCCAGCTCTTTGCCAAGTGGCTGAATCTGACCATGATGCAGTGCGTGGACATTGAATTCGCCGAGCCGTCGGAGGTAGAGGAAGTGACGCGTAACAACTGCTTCAACTCGAGCATCATCAGCTTTGGCGAGGTCTTCACAACAACGTCGCTCACATCAGCGGCAGCGCCCAAGCCGTCGCTGATGAACGTGCTACCTGTTTACATGGTAGCATTGCTCAGTTGGGCGATGATGTAAATACTTGTTTGACTTTGGCTTTTGTGGCTCGTTTGTTGCATCACATACCCAGTTTTGAGTATACTACTTTATGAACTTTGCGAGACTTTCTTGTCTTATGACACCCCACACTTTCCTTGTGAGCCACGCATTCTTATTCTACAGGCGTTATAGGTTACGATCCCCTCGACCGGGGCAGATACTTTTGATCAAAAGTCAAGATATAGCTTCAGACGCCAATTGACCTAATACCATATACGATCTGCCCAAACGCAAATTTACAAGTTCATAACGGGTTCATCCGAGACTACGCACCAGGCGCAGAATCACATTGGCGACCTCGTCGGGACTCTCTTGGGGCGCCCAATGCCCAACCCCTTCAATCAACCTCAGGAACCTAAAATCGCTGCACACCTCCCCATTCACCATCTTCTCCAACGCCTCTGGTTCCTGGTAGATTCCCCAGTCCATCTTCCCCGACACAAAAGCACAAGGCACCTCAATCTTCTTCCCCGCGAACGTGTCGAAATCCTGCATGAACTGACCATCCGCCGCCGTCCGCACTCGATACCAGTTCAACCCGCCCTGGAACCCCGTCCGCCCATACTCCGCCACATAAACTTCCAGATCGGAATCCGGCAGCCAGACCTGCGAAAGCTGCTGAGCGTTCTGCGGCTCGTTTTTCATGTCCAGCGCGATGGCTTCGGGCATGGTAGCGTCCAGCGGCATGATATAGTAGAACGGTAGTTGGATTAGTTCATCTGCTGTCCAGGACTTTAATGGACGTGGGTCGTTGCGCGCGCACGAGCCGCTCTTGAGGTGAAAGTATCCGCGCAGGAACTCGTGGAGACGGCCCGGGGGCAGGCTCATCTCGTTGCTTGCAGCGGCGGTGGAGTAGTACCATTTGTAGTGTTTGCGGTTGCGGTGGGCCAGCTCGGCGTGGATGCTGTTGCTGGCGGCGGATTCCATGCCGCTGCGGCTTCCTGGGGTTCCGTGGTCATGGTCATGATCATGGCTGTTGGCGGTGTTGAATGGTAGTGACGGCGTGCCGTTGAACGGGTGGCTCAGCAGGAGCACGCTTTCGAAGAAATCTGGCCGGATCAATGCGCACATGGCGGCGGATACGGCGCCGCAGTCGTGGCCCACGACGCAGCGCACGGAGCGGTACCCCAGTGCGTGGACGAGAATCACCATGTCTCGTGCTAGCGAGGTGAGTGAGAAGGTGGACAGGTCTACCTCCTCGTAGCTGCGGGTGTCCCAGCCCGTGGTGCGGCCGAATCCGCGCTGGTCGGGGCGACGGCGTAGTATCCTGCTTCAGCTAGGCGGGGGAGGATCTTACGCCATGAGAAAGCCAGTTCGGGGAAGCCATGGAGAAGCAGGATTAGAGGACGGTTGCGGTCGGGAGAGTAGCCGGCCTCGAGGATGTGGAAGTTGAGGGCGGAGGTGGAGACGGATCGACTGGAGACATTTGGGGGAAGGGGGAGGGAAGCCATTATGTTTTGTGTATCACTTTGCTTTGGATGTTGATGGAGAGATGGATCATCTATCTACCATGCAATAGTTAGCACGAGCTTTGTGCATTCGGATGGTATGGATCTATAGGTTTTGTAGATCTACATTTCTCCACATTAACACCGAGTATATATGTTGGAGTCTCCATAATGATCAGCCATATTGATTACCCGAAAACCAAGGCAAAATTAAAGGCAATAAGGCAGACACCGTTGTTTATTGGTAGCCTTATTTTCAAGGTACCGACTAGCTGGAGTTGACAGATGCAACCTCAGGCACCAACACACCCACACCCGCATACATCATCGATGCCTTACAGAAGACATTCAATCCTGCAGCAACTCTGCAGTACGTAAGAAGACCTAATTTACAGTCTTGGGGAACTTTAGATCCTCATCAAGGCAAGAAAAAAGCTAAAAAAGAGCCGATCCACCAGACAACCCAAAGTAAAAAAGAAAAATCGGCAATGCTCAATCGCTCATTGATCTGACTTGGATCGGCCTCCAGTCCATGACGCAAAGTGTGCCCCCTTCGATCCGCACTCCCTCACATTTTGCTCTGGATCGGCATTATCCCCTTCTAGGGAGTTGGGACTGGCAACTCCCCTCTGTTCATCGTCATTCGGAACTGACTTCTTGATTGTCTACATTCAGTTTCGCATCAATTTCTTCGTTCCTTTCATTCACCCCTGTTCCTCTAATTCGTCCCCTTAATACATTCGTTGAGGGAATCTTCCGCCCTTTTTTCCCGCATCCCCCTCTCGCTGACAACGCAGCACAATATTGCGAGGCAGCCCGAGGACTTTTCGACCGTCTCGGAGTTTACGGCTGAGAAGACCACCAATATATCCGTCGCTGCTCTGCGTGATATATATTAATGTGCAGTGATAGATAAGACACGAAGAGGAACCCGTGTCTTTGTCGACATCAGCTTCCATGTCCGCCGTTTGAGGGCAGTCGCGACGATATCGAGTTTCTTTCGCTGGAGGACGCAACATGTTCCGCAGAAAGAGAAGCACATCTCGTCATCAGGTGAACTTCACAATTTAGGCGTATTTCGCAAATTAAAATTAGTCGAAGCTGATTCTCATTGCTATCCCCTAGCCTCTCTCCACGGTTAACTCTCAGTCTGCCCAGTCCGCTGCCACCCATGCCTTCCTTAAATCCCAACCCTCCTCAAGCAGCCTGTCTTCTGCTGCGGCGGCGGCGGCTCTGCGAAGTCTTACACCTACCCGGACGCCCGTGGAAAATGTCCAGACAAAGAGAATGATTCAAAGGCGGGCCTCCGTAACTTCGCAGACCAGCATGACAGGTAGCCTCCGTCCAGCCAGCAGGACAGCCCTTCGTCGCAGCAATAGCTCAAGCTCCATGAGCAACAGAACGTTCCGAGAACAATCTCCGCGCCGACCTGCTACCAGTAACGGCCAAGTGGATGTCGTACCGCCCCTGCCCTCCATGCCTCCAGGATTCGCAGGCCGGAAAAATGCTGGTCGACGCTCCGTCAGCCTGGAGCCAAGCGTGCGCTTCAATTCCTCGCCCACAAATAAGACGCTGGGTCGCGGTATAAGTGTCGACAGATCGCTGCGATCGCCGTCCAGTCAGTCGCCCCTCCAATCCCAACCATTGTCTACCGTTCCCGAGCTCGAACGAACAAGCAGTCGGAACTCAGTCAATTTCTCATATCCGATGACTGGTCGACCAACCTCCCCAACTGTCTCGCGTCCGTCTCCCACACAACATGAGGCGTCGGTTAACGTGTCGCTCAATCAGGAGTTGTCACCCGCCGCGTCTCCGAATGCTCGGGTAGCGAAAAACCAGGAAATGAAGAAGGCAGCTGGGCTCGTTACCGGAAGCCCCGGGAGAACCGCCTCTTCCGTTGGTACCGCTGTCGCAGCTGCACAGGCTGCTGTGGTACCAAAATCCGATGGAACGGGTCACTCACCTGTGGCCAATCGCTTCGTCAATCATCGAGAAGCGGCCACTAATACTCATGCGCAGAGTCATGCCTTGCGACAAGTATCTCATGCGACGGGGCCAAAGCGGACGCCTACTGTGCCTGATGAAGACTCCCAGGGCGGAGAACGCGCAGGACCAGATGGAATCGGGAGCAGCTTCAACCATCCGCGCGCCAGGAGTATTTCGCCTATCGACGACTTTGTGCCCAATTCTTCGGAGCATTTGTATGCAGCGGAACCTTCAATCGTCAGAACGCCAGCCACGCCGGACGAAAAGGATGCACGCCCTACTTACCCTGTCCATTCCACGGAGTTGAATGAATCGGCAAGGCTAGAGAATGGGCTACAGCAATCCCCCATCCGTTATTCCAACAGCAGCCCGGGTAGATCTGCTCGATTTTCATCTCAACTTGCAGTGACTGGAATTGCTGAGCATCAACCTCCTCCGAGATCGGTCTCACCAGTCAAATCCGCGCTGAAGAATGCGCGGAAAAGCTCATTGTCTCCTGATGGGAGAAATGGAGGTGTTCTCCGTCCAGGTCCGTCAATCAGTGAGCTATCTGACGCCACTTCTGTGGCTTCAGACGATGGCTCCAGACTGGGCTACCGTAGGAAGCCTGTCAAAGTAAGCTTTGACGATGATACTGAAATCGTTGGAGTTGCAGCCAGTCCGCCAACCTCCCCGGAGGAACTAACCCCGAGCCCCCTGAAAAATTCAGGGCCAGAACTGGATGGTTCGGGGTAGGTAAGCGGAAGACATCTCAATGGGATACCGTGCATCCGGATGAGTTCGATGAGGTTTTGAAGCCCCGACCTGCTCTTCCTTCTTTTGGCAGTATAAGAGGACGCCGGGAGGACGAACCTGAGCCCGCCCAGCCAGACTTCAGTGATAACGAGTCTACCGCCTCGTCTGAGTTCGATGCAGTGGTCTCCGGGTGGTCTGTCTCAAATGACCATCCCGGTCAAGGCATCATGTCCAACCCTTACGTAACAAGTCATCCATATGGCACAGAAGTCGATCGCATCGCCCATGCTGAGTCCTCTGAAGGTGCTAGCGACCAAACGAATAATGAACTAAGACAAGATGGTGACTTAGTCCATGAGCCGGCGTCTCAAGCTTCTCAGGCTCTGAAACTGTCCGTAGCGGATGCACACTTAATGCGAGAGCAGGAACCATTAATGACTCCAGATGTGGAGTTAGCGCTACAGGGTATGGCGGTCCAAACAGCCTCAGCTGGTGCCGAAAAAGGGCGTTCAAGTCTTGAGATATACAGAGTTCCCGGTGGTTTTCCGCGAACCTCGTTAGAACTTGAGCCCAAAGCTGCGAGTAAAAGGAAAGGCAAGAGGAGATCACGTGGCAAGTCTATTGACGAAAATATGCCGAATGGCAAGGGGAGCGATGACGAGTCAGGGGAAAGTATTTACAGCGACGCCGAGGAGGGAGTAGATGGTGATGGCTTTGGCTCAATCAATGCTATCGTGGATGCGCGGATAGCGCAAGGCAAAGACGGCCGGCCTGTTGATTCTCTCCTCAACAACACATCCTCCAAAGACGACACTCGCGGATTTGGAGCTAAGTCCACCAATGGAGCGGCGAACAGGCTCGAAGAGTCAAGTCAGGCCGATTGCGCAGCAACTCCCGCGCAAGCGCAACCTGCCGACTCTCCCACCTCCGCACAAGCATTTTCTACACCGTCTACAGTTCAGACGCAGCCGACCGCCAAAGACCTACATTCGTCTGCACGCCCGAGTCAAGCGAAGAGGCCCATGTCAACCATAGTATATAGTGATTCAGGGCTTCGTGACGCTGTTGCAAAGGATGGCTCATTACGCGACCTATCGGGCAACAGCACCTCTGCTTTGCGTCGAGCCGATTCTGAGCGGGCCAAAAGGAGGCCTGTGTCATTCGGGCCGGTCATCCAAAAGGAAATCGATCCAGCGCCTTCTAGCGAGAGATTTATCAGCGGCAGAGCGCCCCGCATGCCTCAAAGGAGGATGTCTACCGGAAGCGACTCATCCAGCAGTTTCATAAGGTCCACGCGCCGTGCCAAAAAAGGTGGGCAGCATACCATGCGTCGCACCATGCGGGGAGGCCCTCCGATCCGTGCCATGCCGCCGTCTCCTGGCCGGGCATCATCACCCACCATAGAAAGTCGGCCTCTTTCTTCAGGGTCGGTCATAGGTACCATGCGCACTACATTGCGGAGTGGACCCAAGAACGACAAGACTCCGAGCTTCTTCTCTAGCAGGTCTCCGAAACCGAAGGCTACCAAGACAGCCACACCTCGTTTCGTATCACGATTCCCAGATTCGGATGACGAAGATGCTGATTTCCGGCAGCGGAAACTTCAACGTCGATACGATGATTCCAGTGACGATGAGCAAGGCCGCGTGATGCACAGTCTACGCCCGGTTCGCGGCATTCCTCGACGGCAGGGAACAAACGACGGCGATTCGACGGAACTGGAAGATAGCTCCGAGAACGAGAGGCCGGCCACCCCTGCACCAGCAGCTGTCTCCAAGAAACCTGATCTTCCTTCGCACGACCCAGGACTTGCTGCAGTGGCCAGGTCCCGTGGAATGACAGAGGAGGAGCTGGATGAGTTCCTCCACCGGCCGGCAAAGGGGCGAGTGTCTGGGATTCTGGGCAGGTTCACTTTGAAGAAATCCAGGCCACCCATGGAACACAAAGCCTCCAAGTCCAACCCGGAGGACCTTGCTCACATGCGGGACGAGAATTTGCTGAATCCCAGTCGGGGAACAACGGTCACAACCGTTACTGCCAACCACTCCGGGACTTCCCCTTCGAAGCTCACCAAGGGAGGCTTGAAGAAAGCGAACGGAAACAGCTGGCCAATGGACTCTGGGCACAAAGGGTCAGAAGCCGCAGTGGATGCCGGAACTGTGGCGGAACAGCACCCAGTAGCGACGGATGCATCTGGAGACGGAAGTGCATCTATTACCCGCCATAGTGAGCCCACCACAAGGGACAGCGCAATCAATATGCAAAGCTCCGAAGCCGCACCTCCGCGCGAGGAACAACACTTTGCTAACAGCAATGGCAATAATAACGTCAGCGCAAAGGATATCGTCTTCCCACAGGGAGGGCGGAAGAAACGATTTCCTCGTCTTCGAAAGGCATTCGGCATGCGCAGCTAAGGGGAGCCGAGTGATGTCTATTCGCTTCTTCCACTACATATATTAAAGCATATTTGCTTGTAATATATACAGAACTTGGCAGATTCTCTCTGAGAAGGCTTCTCTGATAGCTGCCCGTACTATGGATTGGTCGAGGTGCCGACCTTTCTCACGTTTCTACGATACTACGAATTACTACGCCTATACAGGAGGGAGATAGTGCTCCCTATTTGCCGTGATTTTCAATACTTTGCTCCCATCCGCCCGTTCAATCTAATCTGCTGTGATACCTTCGCTTCTCTCCACCGGCCACGCAACGTGTGGACGAATTGCTATTATAACAACTCCTACATAGGAGCAGGCTTGATTTATTTTCTTTTTCTCTTGTCTTCTCTTCTTCTTCCGTGTCGTTCCTCTACAATTTCTGAGATATATAATATTAATTTTGGCGGGACATGGGTTCAGGAATACGGATAATATGGGTAATGGGCAAAGGGTTAAGGTTAATGGTCTTAATACACCATCTTAGGTTCGAGGAGTTTTGGAAAGGTTATCTATTGGATAGAAGGAAGATTAAGGACATCTGTAACATCTATGAATTATCTACCGGATACATAATGTCATTTTTTGAATCGCTCATTGACAAATAAGACATTCACTCTTTCTGATGGGTCGCTGGTTTCTTCAAGCATTCATTATGGAGTACTAACAGCACATCAACTGAAGCCTGAGTGTCCAAATACGAGTACGCAGTTTGTGCCCTGATTATCCTTCGTCAAAACGAGCTTGGTTGAGCTGCTGAGTGCATGCAAAAGTACCTGATGATCGGCTGTGTTGACCCGTGCAACAACCTCGGGATGGGAAGCTAGGAGACATGGGAACGAGCTCGTCGCTCTCCACCCATGAGTCCACTTTCCAGTGATTCCGATCTTGTGCAAGGGCCCACACGGCAAACCAAAGGGCCAGAAGGCAGACACGACAGCCACTTGCACCAACCTCTTGCTTTTCCTTAGGTCGGGTATCTATCGATAGACATGGGAATGCGTCTACAATTGGACAGCCGGCGCCGGAGATTGGGTTGAAGCTGTGGCGAACGACTGTCCATTATTATTGTTGTTACATACTTTGCTGTTTAACAGCAAGGTAACGGAAAGGGATACAGCTCAGGAAATTCGATGGCTGGCGGGCGCGTAGTCGAGCAGCCGTGAAACCAGAGCAATCATCATAGAGGTCAGAAGCACTAGGGTGGAGCGCTTTAAATCAAGGCTGTCAGCCTGTAGAAAGCTGCTGGTGGTCGAGAGACCACGGCTTCTCCGTGTAATGAACGGCGGGAAGTGAGATGGGGACGGGCTGATGAAACCCCAACTCCAATGACGGAGCTCCACGAATATTGTCTGGATCAATTGCAGATGGGCCAGAGCGAAGGAAACTGCCAGAATGCTGTAACTAGAATTAGGAACAGTATCTCCTCCATATTCTCAGTTGATTCTCTCTCCATCACGCTGGCAGAGACAGCTCAATGCTGCTCATTGCTAAGTCGAGTTGGTGAGGAGAAGAACCGCGCATAAGCCACCACCAAGGTCGATCGTCCCAGCCCAGTAGCGCCAAGGGATCCAGATTTCCGATTCGACCCGGGGAGAAGTTCACGTTGCCATGGAGATTGGTGTCTTTTTTGAGTTTCAGCTCGGTGTATGCTGGCCAGCCTCCAGACTTTGTCACCAATTGCGTTATCACTAACTTATTGATTGGGTGTACAGCGTACGAAGAGGAGAACTCATTCCACGGGCTCGAACGTATTGTCATCATGCATGTGAAGGTTCATCCTTCTGAATGGAATAGAAATGTTTTAATAGACCGCTTGATTGTGATGGGTATTATTTCGAAGCCTTGTTGGCCGATATGTTGATGGGGCCGTTCGTATGCAGCAGGATGTACGGAGTAGGCCGATGGAGTCAATCAGAACTAGCTATATCTAGGATCCATGACCTTTGCAGTTAGCACATGCTTTTCCTTGAGCATAAACTGACCCTCAGGAGGAGACGAGAGTTGACAAGAATAATAGTGATTTTCTTTCGTACCGTCTGGAGAAAATGACTATCGCCCGCAACCTCGGATAGATGAAACCCCAGAGGGTGTTTCTAATCGGGAGGCTGGAACCGACCCAAACGGGCAAAGCGCAGTAAACAAGCGCGTGGAAACAAGCAGCAGCAGCATTGGATGGAAGAATTGATGTGATGATTGACGCATTGATGGATTGATTGATTGATTGAATGCTACGATTCTGTTGCCGTATGGGGGAGGTTTCCTGGGTGTACTCCGTAGAAAGTAAGGTGTTTGTTATGATTAGAGACAGTCGCAGTAGTGAACGACGGCCTCTCCCTTCCTATTTCAAGCCCCTCATCCTCTTCTCTTTCTCCTTCTCTTCTCTTCCCTCTTCCATTCCTTCTTCCTTTTCCTCTACAGAATTCCTGAGTTTATCTCACATTCCCCCCTTCCTGTCAACCACGGATTAGATTAGATCTATCTAATCTTCTAATTCTCACTCCCGCGAGAAAGACTTCTCTTCCAGTAAAGAGTCTTTTCTTGTCTCGCCTTTCGAGTTGTTTCGCAACAGTTCGAAAGGGATTCGAGAAGAGACGCCCAAAGGACAGCCAATCTGGACTTTGACGCCCGCGTCCCCATCCCCTTCAGTGTCTTCCCGTCGTCGTACCGGAGTGACGCTGTTCCTGAGACTACTCTGACCAGAGTAGAGGGAGAAGTCAATCTCGATCGTACTTCGCACGTCGAACGGGAAGATACTCGAACCTCTGCTCCTCTTCCCGACCCTCGTGCCTACGGAAGAGAAGAAGTCGATATCCATATCACCAAGGACCGTCTCCGCGCACCTTCTCGCAAGGGTGACGATTTCCAGGTCATCTACGAAGACCGTGCCCACAAGGATTCTCGCGTTCCTGAGGTAGAACTTTCGCGTGAACGGTAAGCATTTCTTTCTTTCCACGAATTTCCTTTTTTTATTATTACTTCCACGGCCCTTGAAAACTCCTTGGTTTCTGTCCGATATTTCCCCCTCCTGTGGGCTGTTATTTTTTGGGCTGTGGTGATTTGTTTTCTGTTGATTTTCCCTGAATGCCTCGTGCTTCTGCATCAATCTACATTTCCAGCTGGAAAAGTGGAGAGGGTGAGAAAATCAAGGCAACAGGCGGAAACGCAGCGAAAACAAAGCAAAACAAAACAAAAACAATACAAGCATCAGAAGAAGCGGTGACACCCCGAAGGCTGCATCAGCCGAGAAAGTGGCACCACAAACCTAGACTAGAGCGGATGAGAAATGGCGAGCTATCAATTTACGCAGTTGGCCCGGTGCTTTTGCTCAGCCGGGCCTAAATTGATTAGCCGCTCCATCCAATCTATTTACGTGGCACAAAAAGACCCAAAACAAATGGAGCCAAATCAAAACAAATGCTCCCCCAAAAAGGAAAATGACATCCAATGAGCGGTGTCGGCCCGTTCCCTTACCCAATCCCCCCTCTCGTGTCCCCAATCCATGGTCGTCTTGTCATCCTATTTCTTGTTTATCATTCTCTCTCGGATAGTATCTAACATTCTCCCCCGTTCCCACCCCCAGATACCGTGAACCCACTTCTCGCTACGAACCTTTACCTCTCAAGCCCGTCTACGACCAGGCCCTCGAGTCCCAGCTTGACATCACTGAGCGAGAGTATCGTCGCCGTACCGATCCTACTTACGACGTCAACGTTTCGTACGGTCGTCACCAAGCTCCCGTAGCCTCTTACCAAGCCTACCAGCCCCAACAGACTTCCGACGTCTCGCTCCAACGGTCCAAGACCGAGATCGACGTCTCCTACGACAAGGCATACGCTCCTAAGCCTCTCGAAACACGCAAGGGAGACTCCTTCAGCCACAGCGAGCTCACTGTAGAGTCTGTTCCTTCTCGTCCTTCCTCCGTCGCTTCGATCTCTCAAGTCAAGGTCCTCAAGCCTTACACCGCTATCGACCAACCCCCTGCTCGCAAGATGGGTTACTACGACGACGACGGTAACTACCACTCCTTCCGCCGTGGCGTGGAGCGTGCTGTTGACCGCATCACGCATCCATTCCACCACCACCATCATCACCACGATCGTGAGGAAGTAGTCATCGCTGACGAACGTGGCCCAGTTCGTTACCGTGATGGCGTCCGTGAGGATGTTCGCATCGTCGAGCCCCGCGCCAGCAAGACCACTGCAGAATCCGTTCCCATCCCCTGCCACTTCATCCGCATCGGCGACATCCTGATTCTCCAGGGTCGCCCCTGCCAGGTGATCCGGATCTCCGTTTCCCCCAGACCGGCCAGCACCGCTACTTGGGTGTCGACCTCTTCACCCGTCAGCTGCAGGAGGAGTCCAGCTTCGTCTCCAACCCCTCCCCCTCGGTTGTCGTTCAGACCATGCTCGGTCCCGTCTACAAGACCTACCGCATTCTGGACCTCCACGAGGATGGCACCCTCACCGCCATGACCGAGACTGGTGATGTCAAGCAGGCCCTCCCCGTCGTCACGCAGGGCCAGCTTTTCCGCAAGATTCGCGAGGCTTTCTCTGAGGGCCGCGGTAGCGTCCGTGCTCTGGTCATCAACGATGGTGGTCGTGAGCTCGTCGTTGACTACAAGGTCATCCACGGTTCCCGTCTGTAAGCGTCTAAGCCTCTTTAGGTTTAGTCAGTTTGGGTAAACGGAACAGGTTAGTTTATCCGCTTTGTCACCCATACACTATGATCCTATGAACCATGGTTGTTGCTTTGACCCAGGGGGAAATCCCGTCACATGACGCTGACGTCATTAATCTAGGTACAAATCTTTCTATCTGCTGAGCGAAAACGATAATTTATATGGTATGGCAATTGCTTGTATCTGACATGATGGACTACACGATTGGAATGGCCTCTTGATGAAAAATGAAAAAGAAAAATGACAAGCACGACTTTTTTGGTTCACCCGATTCTCCTGTATCAGTCATGGCCACCTTGTAACTACAGCTAGATCATAATGCTACTTACGTCCCCTTGATCGCATACTTGAAGCGAATTCTGTAGACTTGTAGTTACATTACAAATTAACTGTCATTGTGTATCCTTTTATGTCGAGAGTCGTTGTCATTATTGACGCTAGTTCAAGAACATCTTGGCCGTCATGAATCTTAATTATGCAATATCGCACTATCAGCGATTAGTTACTGACTGTCCTACCAGTTGAAACATTCAATTCAATAGTTCACTTAGCAAACCAGAGTAGCATCGACATCAACAATATATACCAAACATAATAAAGCAACCAAGCCTGTCCGTCCATCCATATACTCCTGACCTGACCTGCCGAAACAAAGAAAGAAAAACCTATGAACAGCAAAGAGTCTTTGTACAACCTGCGCCTGCCCCTCTCTGCAAGTGCATAAGAGACTCGTAGCCAAAGCAAATAGCAAAAGTGGAAGGGAGAAGAGGTAAAGAACTGAAAAGAAAGGCGAAGGGAATAAAGAAAAGCGGAGGATGAAATCAAGGCCGCCTGGCCAGGAGCATCTTTACCAGGATTCTGAAGAAAAGAAGAGCGGAAAAGCGTACGCCGAACGCATAACCAGTGTATCATGGTGGAAAGCATTATCCGAAGCGGAGCGTAAGGAGATGATTCAACATGTCACATCGCAGGTCGAGAATCAAAATGCCGGATCACCCAGGGAGAGAAATGTGCTGATGCCGTGAAAACGCTGTAAGTCGATCAAGTTGCAAAAAAAGGGATGATCCAGAAGCCATATTGTACATGTCCACATGCGGAGAGAAGAGATGGACAGGGTATCGTTTATAACAAAGCCCCAAGTAGAAATCGACCAAGAAGAGAGGCACATTTATACTCATGAACACGAATCGAGACGGACATCCTCGGGTCAAAAAGGGTAGACAAGGATTGTCACCGTTCCCCGAATTTGCCATATTCCTGTTGCCATTTCAGGAGATGACGCGTGAGGACATCCATCATTTCAACGCTGCTCAGATCTTTGAACTCCTTCTCCTTGGGAGCCTGACCCGATGCTGTTTCGCTATCAACGCTTGATGTCCCTGACTCCACTTCGTTGGTATTCGAAAGTAATGCAGTCTCGATTTGACCCATCGTGGCCTTTGTGAGAGAGCCATTTGGTTGGTCTCCATTGCCGGGAGGGGTGGAAGTTTCGCCGGCAACAGCCATCTCGACCTGCATCCGGGAGATGAATTCAAGGATTCCGGCAACTCGTCTCTTCATCTCGTTCATGGTAGTCCGTTGAGGGTTCATGTAGCGCGGCCTGCTCGGTTTTCCAGAATCTACATTGTAGTGCGCTCCGTTGACTGCCCCCACTCTCGGCGAGTCCCCACCGATATCGTGTGACTGCCCCCGTCGTGGAGAGTCAGCTCCATTCATATCTCGGTCCCTCGTATATTGATTACGTCCGACCCTTCCACCACGTCGCGCAGGTGGGCGTCCAGACTTGCGGGTTGACGGACGGGAGGGGGCAGGTTCCGGAGCAGGTGCAGCGGTCTCCGGGCTAGCTTGAGGAGGCTCAGGGTCTTCCGCAGTGGCTTTAGTCGGCGATGCTATCTCACGGTCGGCATCTGCTCGTTGCGAATTTGTTAGGACGAGGAATCCCAAGATAACTTCAGGGCTGTTACCTTCACCATTTCGTCTCTCGAACTTTCCCCTCTTGCGGCTCGCAATCTCCGCGGGGTCTGTTTCGGGTTCTTCTGTTTCTTTGATGAGCTTTTCACGATGACCCCGCGGTGCCACCCTAGAGTTTTTTGTGCCGTTGCCATTAACTTTTGTCTTCGACTCATCTTCTGATGCAGGTTGAGATTCTGTGTTCTCTGGTTTTGAGATAGCACTTGGTGAAGGGGAACTTGTACGCTGGCGCTTCGTCACCTGCTTGTGACTAGGCGGGGAAAACGGGTCAGCAGCAGCACCAAAAACCAATGTTACTTGGGAAGGGTCGTCATCAAACTCACGCTTCGCTGTCACTTCGACTCCGCTTGCCTCGTCGGAGAGCGATGTCCTCTGCAGGGGGCTGAGTATCTTCCTTGCTCTCCTCGATCGCTCGCCGGAGCTGCTCCTCTTCGTCATAAGCGGCATCACGACTATTCATGGTTGATCTGCGTTTGGGGTTGGCAATCGCCTCGCTCTGTCGTGATTTGGAGTCTTTCGCCCGTCGCGAATTATCACGGGACGAGTCACGGGAGGTTGCAGGGGAAGATTGGACTGGGGCGACTGGGAGGTACTGCGATGAATATTGTCTGCAAAGTTGTAAGCACGACGGCCATATAGTTGAAACGTGATTCCGTGTAGAAGCATCGCGGTTGAGGTGCGTGAGAATTTGTAACATTGGCTCAGCCTCGACGGGTAACGAAGAGCCTGACCGCATCATCCGGGCAATTTAAGGCCGAGTGGGCGCAGTAAATCAGAGAAGGGCAAATTCTTGAAATGAGAGTAGAAAAGAAGTTTGAAGAAACATACCCGTTGGACTCATTCTTTATTTCGTGAAGATCTTTCCGACACTCCTCACAGAAGTACTCGTCGGGACTCATCGCTTCATCCATAATTCCCACACAGCCACCGTGTTGCCAAACTTTGCAGGAATCACACTGGATGAACATGCTACCGATATCGTCGGACATCAGGTCCGATGAATCTGCAGAAATATTCAACGCATGTTCATCCTTGAACCCAACAGCCGCCCCGTTGCGACCGAGAGCCTCCCGCCGAGAGGGAGGCAGGCCAGGGTAGTCTTGCTGCCCACAAAGACATCGGGTAATCTCTTCTTCTTCGTCACCCTCTCCGTCTTCATCCTCATCTTCCTCCTCCCCATTCAATCTCACATGGTCATCATCTCCTCGGGAGCGCTGGCGCTGCCGCGTTTGTGGGTAGTCGTTTCTTGTGGCGCTGTCCGCATCATCAATGGACTGAGAACGTTGGGTTGAAGATCTCTGAGGTGAGGAAATTTTATGGTTCGACCGAGTGCTTCTTTCGCGAGTCAAGGAATTCGACGAGCTGGAGGAATTTGTATGCTGAAGGATGACGGGCGAGGGTTGGGAGGTGCGGGCACGAGAAGAGCGACGAGGAGTCATGGTGAAGCACTGCGAAGCGGATGGAGTACAATAATTCTGACAATGGGACGAATATTAAGGATAAGTTAAGTATATAAGAGTCAAGCGAGGCACAATTATAAGCAGATGCTGCCCATGTGGGAGCAGTCGCACGCGGGTAAGAAGCTGGGATTCGACAGCGACGACTCGTAGGAAAGGCGAAAAAAAAAGAGAGCGAACGGACCGGCAAGGCAAAGAGTAGGAGCTGGCGATTGAGACACGAGGTTGAAAAAGAATCCAAAAAGTAGCGTCTGCGAGCCCGAGTCTGAGCCGAGGACTACATAATCTGCAGATTCCTATTCGTGAGGGTGGAGGGGAGGGAGACGAGGGAAGCAGAAGAATGAGACGGGGTGGAGGAGAAAGAGAGTTCGGCAGCAGTAGCAGTACTAGCAGTAACAATCCTAATCAAAAAGGCGGACCACCGCAAGCGGGTTTCCTTTTTCTCTCCTCTCCGGGCTTTCCCCGCTCACCATCCACCAGGTCTCTTTCTGCGCTCCACGAACCTCGAGAGTCAACTATTGCAAAGTAATTGCTATCATCTTCTTGATGTTGGACTTACTTCTCGACTGTGTTTTTAGAGCAGAGTTGCTTGCGATGGTGTATGACTGAGCTCAACTGCTGACCTGGGTTGACAGACAGAGCCGATGATGGCATCGTCCATTCCGCCATTCATTCCACTACACAGAAAACCCCGCTTATCACTCGTCGACCGCACACAACGTCCACAGCCTGCCTCCTTACTACTCGCCGATCCGAATTTAAACAAAGACTAGAGTTGAGTCGGTTTACTGGGTGGACAGAGAATACTGTGTTTTCCTACTGTCCAGGTAGTTAGAGGAATTGTCGCAAGGAAGCGGTCCTCCATGACCGTTCAGGGAACTTTAATCCTTGCGGATGTTGTCATCATACAAGAAAGCCTCGTTTCACCACCACATTTGCTTGTGGACTCTGAAAGAACTCAATGAAACTGCTCAGCTATGGGAGATTGATCCCCATCTTGCTGCTCCTATTCTACAAGTGCATAAGCTTTCAGCTCCAGAAGTACCATAGCTTGTTCCTGCAGGAATGGTTGGCCTATAGAGCGCTTGAGGCTGGGAGAGAACATCACATAAGGTAGATAACCAATGTATGAGAGCTGTCCTTGGGACAGTCCACGGTATGATGCCTGTTTCAAATCACAGCTTGTAGACAGCAGCACCAATCAACAGCTGGACTCGGTCGTTGAACTTGCCATCCGCTAGAGCATTTTTACACTGCTGAGGTATACGGTGAATGTGGTGAAAATAAAATCGTGCCAAACGATCATTACAACGATTGAGTTGTACTTACCCAGCTCATCTTCAGGAAATATCTGTAGAAATAGAAGATGTCTAAGGTATTGCTTGCGATGGAGACTCTTTGGTCCCGGAGAGGAATAGTGCTTGTTGAGGCCTCAGGCGCCAAATCGGAGCCTCAGGGCGAGAACCCGCAGCTCCAAAAAGAACTATCATGTACGGAGATTAGGTTGTTACTACTCTTATGGTCAATTTCACCCCTCCATCGTCCATCGTCCTTTTTCTAATTTCTCCCCTACCAATAACTCCTTTCGATTGTGGATACTTTCTTTACTTACTATCCCTTCTTCTGATTTACTTCTTCTCTGAGCTTCTGGGTCTGTGCAGATCTTCGTGACATCCGGGTTTCTACTGGGTCTTTCCCGAACCTCTTGTCCGGCTATTTCTCCAAAAATTTTGCATGGGCGTTTGGTGCTGATTAATGGTCACTCGTTTGGTAAGTTGCATCAGGCTTTGTGAACAATACTATCGGGGTTGCTTTGGCTTTCTCGCTACCTGTGGCTTGATCTTTATCCGAGTCTTGATTACTCTTGATGTTCTCTGGGGGCCTGCCAACAGTGACAACTAACTTGTGGGTGCCAAACTACTTCGGTTTAGGTTCCTCTCCGTTCTCATCCCACCCGCCTCTCTTTCCCTACTCGGTATTCGCAACGCGACCAGCAGAACGTCATATATTCTTGACTGCGGAGTGTTTTCTGATTTTCGGGAACGAAGAAGAGGTCGACAAGCAAGAATAGAAATAGCCGAGAGTCTCAAGGTCCTTCGATACCTAGTTGTGGGGCACGGTGATTCAGGGGACAGGGAACAGGAAAAAATAGCCCGCCGTTCGGCTGTGGTCGTCGACGGTTACTGAGCTGAGATACCTGCATGACGATGACTGCTACGTTGAGTATGTTCCTCTCATCAAGGACGTCTTCTCTTCTGGACGTCTCATCATGCCGGTCCAGCACCAGGTGGATGGGGAGTTTTGGAGAGGAGAGAAGATCACTGCCAGCTAGATCCGTTGCTGATTCTGTCCGCCTGCAGATGGGATGTATAACTCAGCTCCAGATACTCCGTCGCCTGTTTATCCGGACAGGCTCATTCGGCCCCTTCCTAAACGGACCCTACGGTCTCGGTTATCGCCCGAGGCCGCCGACTCCATCCTCTACCCTCCCGCACCCCCAGCGACCCAACTCTTCTACGGATCCTCTGCGGACCATGGAGAGGTGGTGAATGACAGCAAAGTCTACGTGCAACAGAGTCTAGACACGGACGCGCATGATCATATTTCCGAGCGAGAAACACACCACACCTATGAAAACAGCCTTGATCT